GGCAGGCGTGGGGCGGCTGGCCGGGGGGCTGGCCAGCTCCTGTGGTTTGCTGGGGAGCTGGGGTTTGGTGGGAACCTGGGGCCGGGTCTCCGGACTGGTCTTGGGTCCATCTGCTTCAGGCCCCACAGATGCACTCGGGCCAGGGCCAGCCCCTTGGAGATCCCCGACCTCTCCTGTGGGCTGCTGCTGGGGCTGCTGCTTCAGCTGCGGCGGGGCCCTGGTCCCCGACCGCCCCGCTGGGCCTAGCCTGGCACAGTGTTCTGCACATACGAAGGTGCCTTCCTCGGGCCCACTCCTATAAGCCCCGGGCAGCAGGGTACTGGAGCACTGCCGACACCTGCCAGGGACAAGACAGGGTCATTTAGCCAAGCAGACAGCCTGGCACCGGCTGCCCCTCCACCCCGCAGTGGCCAAGGCTGTGCCCTCCTTCACTTCCTCCCAACTGCCAGCCCGGATCTCAGCTCAATCCCCTGGACTTCCCAGAGGAAAAAGAAAACGGTAACTGTCGGAAACACAGTGGAACAACAAAATCATGTGAAATCACCAACAGAAATTGTGAAACATGTCCTTGGTTTGTGCTGCAAAAGGAAGGTCTGCCCCAGAGGTCCATCCACTGGGCACCTGCCACCAGGCACGGCTCAGGAAACCAATGCAGTGCTTTTCAAACAGCGGATTTTTTTTTCCCCTTAAATGTGACAGAGGGAACCAGCAGTTAGCGTAATGGCTATGTCGCTGGACTCCCACGTAGTCGACCACGGTTCACATCCCGGACCCGGTGGCTTAGAACTCACGCCGGGCGCGTGTGCGTGCGTGCCCAAGATCCCGAGAGGAGAATGGAGGAGAGGGGACTGTGGCGTGACCATCCCCCCTGGGGGGTGATTTCTCGCTTTCTGTCTCTATGTCTCTCTCTGTCTGTCTGGTGAGCGCACGTGCCCTATAGCGAAAACCTCTCAAAAAAAAAAAAAATGTGACAGAGAGACAGAGAGGGCCAGCCGATGGATGGCATGGTGATTAAGGTGGCTGGATCCCACGTGGCCAACTGCATAGCTCAAGATTCAGGGGAACCAGCAGTTAGCGTAATGGCTATGTCGCTGGACTCCCACGTAGTCGACCACGGTTCACATCCCGGACCCGGTGGCTTAAAACTCACGCCGGGCGCGTGTGCATGTGTGCCCAAGATCCTGAGAGGAGAATGGAGGAGAAGGGATTGCGGCATGACCATCCCCCCCGGGGGGTGATTTCTCGCTTTCTGTCTCTCTGTCTCTCTCTGTCTGGCGAGCACACACGCCCTATAGTGAAAACCTCTCAAAAAAAAAAAAAAAAAGATTCAGGCCCAGTGAATTTTTAAAAGAAATTAAGTTGCATTGTTTTTATTTCTTAATTTTTTATGCATGCCCAAAATCCCGAGAGGAGACTGGAGGAGAGGGGACTGTGGTGTGACCACCCTAAAGGGGTGATTTCTCACTTTTCTCTCTCTCTCTCCAGCAAGTACATGTGCCCTGTCACAAAGCTGGAAAAGAATGTGAAAGAGAAAGAGGTATTTTTCACATGGTCTTGCCAGTACAAGTCTCTGCCCTAGGCGCCCAGTTACTCTTTTTTGTGTTTGTTTTAAAGAGAGGTTTTGGCTATAGGGTGCGTGCACTTGCCAGAAAGACAGAGACAGAGAGGCAGAAAGCGAGACATCACCCCCCAGGGGGGATGGCCACGCCGCAATCCCTTCTCCTCCATTCTCCTCTTGGGATCGTGGGCACACGTGCACATGTGCCCAGTGTGAGTCTAAGCCACTGGGTCTGGGACTCGAACTGTGGTCAACTACATGGGAGTCCAGTAACATAGACATTACGCCATCTGCTGGTCCCCCCAATTAACTAGGACCACAGGCACGCAGGTGATGTGCAGCCCACCGGTTCAGATCGATCCAGGATCCAGTATCCAGGATCCAAATCCGGGCCTCCCTGGCTGGGCCCATCTTCTTAAGGAAATAGAATGAAATACAATGCACCCGAGTGCACTGCACAGGTAAAGACAACTCCTATTTTGTGGAGCTCTTCTTCCAGCTGTGTATCTATTTACACAAGTCTTACTTAGGAAAGTTTTCCTCTCCAGTTCCGTGTCAAATGTATTCATCATCTGCAGTCACTGGAAAAACTTTCCAAAAGGCAGAACCAGCAGATAGCATAATGGTTACATCGCAGGACTCTCACGTGGTTGACCATGGTTTGAGCCCCAGACCTGGCAGCTTAAAAGTCACGCCAGGTATGTGTGCATGCATACCCAAAACCCTGAGAGGAAAATGGAGGAGAAGGGACTGTGGCATGGCCATCCCCCCTGGGGGGTGATTTCTCACTTTCTGTCTCTCTGTGTCTGTCCAGCAAGCACATGCACCCTATAGCAAAAACCTCTCTAAAACTAAGGGAAAAAAATTCCACTACGCAGCCTTGGTAGCCAAAAGCAGCCTGCTTCCCTTCCTTGTGGGGTTTCCATCCGCCACCTCGATTCTGCAATCGGGTCCCTGGGTTCCAGGTCCAGCTGCCACCCACACGCCCACACACACTGCACCAGACCCTGCGTGTCGTAACTCAGTCTGGGCCTCTCTCAAGCACTCAGTTCTTCTGGTTTCTTTTTCTGTAGTACATAAACGTTTTCACATATTTCTAAGTGCTTGCATTTTCCCGCCTTTTGGTCCTTTTTCTCAGAAGTATGGGGACCAGCAAGTGGCATGGTGGTTAAGGACATTGGACTCTCACATGGCTGATGATAGTTCAAGTCCCGACTTGCTTTCTCATTTTCCCTCTCTCTGTCTCACTCTGTCCCACTCTGGTTAAATTAAAGTACATAAATAAATAAGGTTAAATAAAATAATTCTTAAAAAGTATGTACTGCTTCGTACGCATCACCAGTAAGCTCGGTGTGGGTCTGGAAACAGAACCCCTGAGCTCTAATGCTATGTTCATCACACAATTCTTTGTATTGCTTTCAAAGTTTCTTTCTTTCTTCTATGAGTGAGAAAGACAGAAAAGGAGAGAGAGAGAGAGACACAGAGGGGCCCCACAGGGACCTGATGCAGCACCCTGCCCCCGGCCTTGGTCAGCCCCGGGTCATGGGCACGCACATGGGAAGGTCTCTGATTGTGAACCCGGAACCTTCCTGTGTAGGTCAGTCTTGCAGAAGCTACACCACCATCCAGCTACACCACCATTCGGCCCCCTGTCACATGACTGTCTCAAATTATGTGACTTTTTCCCCTTCACTAGGCCTGAGCCTGCTCATCAGTAAAATGGAGATAAGCAAGATGCTTTGGCACCAAGAGTCTGGCGGACGCTGACACACGGTGGGCACCGCACCCGCAGCTGCTCCACCCTGGTACTCACCGGAAGCAGTGCCGGTGGTACAACTTGCCCTCAACCAGGTACCGCTGCACCAGGTGCACGTGCTGTCCACAGGCCGCACAGGTGCTGCTGGGGGGCCGCTGGGCACCCTGCTCCGACAGGCTGTCCGAGGACGGCTCCTCACCCTGCAGGGAACACAGCAGGCAGACTGAGGGCAGGGTCACAGGCACCAGCCATCCAGTTCGGGAGTGACCCCCCACCCCCGTAATGGCCATGAGTGCCCCAAGCTTCACAGTGGTTCAGTTGGCCCTCTATACCTGCAGCTTCCATGTCTGCAGATTCAATAACCAAAGACAACCAAGCTCAGATTGAAAATAATAAAAAAAGACAGATTTTTTTTTAAAAGTTAACACAATACAAAGTAGTACAAATAAAAAGCAATATAATATGACAACTATTTACACAGCATTTACATTAGGTATTATGAGGGCTCTTGAAATGACCTAACATACCCAGGAGGATGTGCGTTATGTGTGAGCACTACACCATTTCTGTGAGGGAGGTGAGCACCCACAAGTTCGTCCATGGTACCTGCAGAGGGCCTGGAACCAACCTCTGCAGACACCGAGAGCCAACTGTACCGTACTTAGAGCCCTAGGAGGGACAGAGGATGGGCCACTGTCACCTTCTCCTAGACGAGGAAACCGAAGTCCAGCAAAGGGAAAGACTTGTTCAAGGTCAGAGTCAGGATGGGAACACAAAACTCTGACTTGCGGTTTCCAAGGCCCCTGTGCCAGGAATGGAGCTTCTGGCGATGGAGCTCTCCCCGTAGCCGCCTCTGCCTCTGCTCCTTCCTTCGGGTTGGCCCTGCCTGGCCACTGGCCACGGGGTAGGCCACAGCTACCTCCTGTTTCCTCGCCTATCCTGGAGCAGATCTAAATCCCAGTTTCCCCACTTCAAGCACTGTGACTTTGAGCAAGATGCTCGGGTCCCTGGGCCTTGGGGACCCACTTGCACAATGGAACTGTATAACCCCACCAGTCTCAGTCCTCCAACCCCCACCGCTGGGAACCCACCCTGGGCCTGGCTCTCTCTGGAGCCGCTCTGGCAAGAAGAGATGGCAGCAGGTGGGAAAGGCACTGCACACTAGGGAGGGCTGTCCAGATGTGACGGGCTGCTGTCATTCCCCTGTGGCCCTACCTCCCTGCTGAGTGACCTGGGACAGATGGCTAAAGCTCAGGGTGCCCCAGTGTCCTCATCTGCATAACAGGGCCCAGAATAACGAACCCCATCCCCAGGCAGCTGAGGGATCTGGATGAAAATCACACCGGGAGGTCAAAGCTCTGACTCCGCAGGAACCCAGGGGAAGGTATCTTGTACATTTCATGTCATCTCCCACGGTCCCAGGATGGCGAAGTCAGACTTGTGGGCTGCCCTCACTCCTTCCCAGACCACCCCAATGGGGATCACACAGAATGAGGCTGGCAATCCGACCCATGCCCATGCCCTGGCCTGGAAGACCCTGTCTTCAAAGCCAATGGAGCGAAGGCAGAAAATGCCCTCGGACCACCCCCAGAGGTGGCTTTCTCCTACGACAGCCACTGCAATAGCAGCTGAACCCCATCCCACCCCCTCCACCCCAGGCATCTGCGTACCTGAGCCCTGTCTCTTGGTTCCATTGGAGGAGATGCTACAGTCGGTGGGGATGAGGGTGCCAGGTCCTTTCTGGGTGGTGAGACACCAGCTGCCAAGAGATGAGAAAGGGGCCCTGAGCCGGGTGGATGTCCTGGAGTGCCCAGCAGGCCCCTGGCAGCGGGTCTGAGCTCTGCAGCTGTCGCCTTTGGGCAGATACCTAACATAGAGGCCAGAGCAGGCACCCACTTACACGGGCCAGAGGACGCCTCCGCTCACAAGCTACCAGAGGGCAAGCCAGCTGAGCTTGCTGACCAAGCGTGAAGCAGGGAGTGACTCCACCTGCACAGGGTCAACATGAGCAGCAGTGTGATGGCACTGTCACATACTCCCAGGGTACCCAGCACATGGGCGGACAGCAGCTGCCTCCCCACCAGGAAAGGGATCCAAGGGAAGGAAAAGACAGGAACCACGTGGGGCTGGCCTGAAGGCTCAGGGAAGTGGACAGCCCCTGGGTCAACAAGGAAGTGGCCGGCCCAACCCCCAGGAGGTAGGTATGACCAGACCCTGCCTGTCTTCCCTGCCCCAGAGGGAACCCATTCACCCATCCACCCCACCCTGGCTTCTTTTTTTTTTTTTGGAAAGGTTTTTCACTACAGGGCGCGTGCACTTACCAGGCAGAGAGAGACAGAGAGACAGAAAGTGAGAAATCACCTCACTGAGGGGGGATGGTCACGCTGCAATCCCTTCTCCTCCATTCTCCTCTCGGGATCTTGGGCACGTACTTTTAAGCCGCCGGGTCCGGGACGCGAACCGCGGTCAACTACGTGGGAGTCCAGCGACATAGCCATTACGCTAACTGCTGGTTCCCCCACCCTGGCTTCTTTAAGACTCAGCACCCGGGACCATCAGATGGTATAATGGTTACGTTGCTGGACTCCCACATATCAACCACAGAGTAAAAACTCACACCAGGCATGTATGTATGTATGCTCAAAATCCTGAGAGGAGAACAGAGGTGAAGGAACTGCAGTGTGGCACCCCCTCTGGGGGGGGCGGGTTCTTACTTTTTGTCTCTCTGGTGAGTGCAAGTGCCCTATAGCAAAAATTTCTCTCTCAAAAAAAGAATAAAAAGAGGGAACCAGCAGTTAGCGCAATGGCTATGTTGCTGGACTCCCACGTAGTTGACCGCGGTTCGCATCCCAGACCCGGTGGCTTAAAACTCATGCTGGGCATGTGTGCGTGCGTGCCCAAGATCCCGAGGAGAATGGAGGAGAAGGGATTGCAGCGTGACCATCCCCCCGGGGGGTGATTTCTCTCTTTCTGTCTGTCTGGCGAGCACACGCGCCCTATAGCAAAAACCTCTCTAAAAAAAAAAAAAAAAAAAGATTCATCCCCTCCGTCACTATTCCAGTAAATATTCGCCGAGTAGTACCTACACGGTTTCCAATGATTAAAATAAAACCTCAGAGACCTATATATCCCAAAAAGTCAATTTTATTGAAAGATGAGTTAAAAAATAAAACTCAAGTCCCTTACTGTTGTAATTAGTGGATCCTGAAATAAATTGAATAGATCACAGGTAGCAGACTTAAAAGATAAACTAGAGAAGTCAGCAGGTGGCATAGTGGTTAAGACACTGAACTCCCACATAGCCGACCACGGTTTGAGTCCCCAACCTGGTGACTTGAAACTCAACAGGTATGTATGCATGTGTGCCCCAAATCCTGAGAGAACAGAGAAAGGACTGTGGCATGACCACTCACCCTATAGAGGGTGATTTCTCTCTCTCTCTCTCTCTCTCTCTTTTTTTTTTTTTTGGAGAGGTTTTCGCTATAGGATGCATGCGCTTGCCAGAGAGACAGAGAGAAAGAAAGCAAGAAATCACTCCCATGGGGGATGGCCATGCCGCGATCCCTCCTCCTCCATTCTCCTCTCGGGATCTTGGGCATGCGCCCAGCGTTAGTTTAAGCCACTGGGTCCGGGACCTGAACCGTGGTCGGCCACATGGGAGTCCAGCAACATAGCCATTACGCCAGCTGTAGTCCCAAGATAAAGTTTTTTAAAAGTGAACTGGAACAGATAATATCTGCATGCATTACATACCGTAAGAGGAAGAATTTTTCCCAGAAGCTTATCCCGGTTACACATGTGCACGTGAACTTGGACCGTGATGGGAAAGTGGATTGTGAAGGACTGTGGGCTGGGTCAAACACTGTGGAAACCCGGCAGCCCATCACATGCCCACAGGGTCTTCCCACCCGCACTGCCCACCTCATCCTCAGACCGCCTGCTGTC